TGTGATGTGAGTATCAGTCACATGGAGGCAGGGCTTAAAAGCCTGAATTTTACCTGAAACTCTCAGACTGAAGAAGTCTCTTGGAGGAGAGACGAAACATTTCATTAGAGAAGAACCCGTCCAGAAGACCTATACAATTTTTTTGTTTTTGCCAGATATGACAACTGTAAAACTTTTATTCATCATTTAAAACCCTTTAAGAGGTCATGAGGAACAAACATTAGCAGAGAACAGTTTGATTGTGTTGTTTGTGTACAATTCTAAATTGTTTCTGGTTCTGCTTCAGGTCTAGTGGGGTCAGCCTATTACTCCTTGTCGGTCCCACCTGAGCCTGCTCTGTCGACACTGACGAGGTCCCTCGGTGCTACAGTGTTGATGGGTAAACACATTCATGTTCAACACCTCACCGGTTACCTCTGAACTCGAGGCCTTGTGCCACAACCTCTGAAGACCTGCTGTCTTGTTGAAAACTGTCTGACTGCTGCTGAAATGATCACTTCAGATGTTGTTTGTCGCAGCAGTTCAGACACACACGATGACAGGAAGACTTGTCATTGTTAATAAGAGTTTAAAATTAAATCTTACTTGATCATTTAATGCTCTGAATATGTTAGAAATGACTGAGCTAAATTTCAGAGTCTGGAAACATTTAGGATTATAAAATAAAAAATGTGTGAGAATCCAAGTTCCGAGTTTGTATCTTTAGAGTCTGCATCTGAATATTTCATTTATTCATTTATTTTATTCAGGACAGTAATTAAAACACAGATATAAAAACATTTAAAGCCAGCTTTAGCTTCAGGCTAATTTAGCCTGTAAATAAAAACGTATTGAAGTTTGAACAAATCCATGTTGTTTATAAAACTCCTCTTTTTCTCTCCTGCCTGCTGGTGAATGTGTTCCCCTCTCCTCCAGCCTCCGTGGGGGCTGTCTTTGGAGTGACCACATGCCTCAGTGCTTCGATCCGAGACGCCCCCGAAGACCCCTTCAACTTTTTTATTGGGGGCTGCGCGTCGGGGGTCCTCCTCGGAGCCAGAAGTAACTATCAGTGTGGAATGTGTCAAAGTTTAAATGATTAAACTGCAAATTTTTGTTTTTAGTAAAATCTAAAAACAGACAAGTGTCTTTGTTGTTTAATGTTTTTTTTTTTTTTCTTTGAAGGGTTAACTTTCATGATAAAATGTGATTTGGTTGATTTAATGTCCTGAATGCTAATAGGTGTGTGTGTGTGTGTGTGTGTGTGTGTGTGTGTGTGTGTGTGTGTGTGTGTGTGTGTAGGCCAGAGTGCTGCGGTGGGAACGACAGCCTGTCTCGGTTTGGGAGCTGTGGCCTATTTGGTTAAAGCTGGTAGAGCAGAAGGATGGAGATTCAGCGGTCCTCCTGAGGTTTAAGACAGCTTTCAGAAGAACTTCTGTGACCGTTCTGTAAAAATATGTTACTCAATAAAGTTTATGTAAAAATAATCTGTTTTGTTCTTTTTTAGTTTTTTTATGCAGAGCATAAATGATTTGAGATGTTTTTTTGTCTCCCTGATCAGAGAGGATCAGCTGGTTTGTCTTCAGACCTCCTGATCTTTTTAATAAGAACCACCTCATCGTGTTTCTCCTTCATCACTTTAAATAAATACAACCTGAACGAAGATCAGCATTCAGCAGCTGAGAAGTTTCTAATCAATTTCATTTCTACCTTTTTATTTAGTTAAGTGTTTCGTTATTCATCTGTTTTAACTAAGAACTAAAATTAGACTAAAGTTTGTCAAAACAAAAACTGAACATGTTTAAGACAAAATACAACCGTTATATACTGAAAGTATTTATCTTTAAGTTTTTAATAGCTAACATTGGTAAATCAATTCACTCATAGACTAATAATTAGTATAGGTGATCTTCGTAAGAGTCATTGGGCCTCACAAAGGGTTTGTACGAACATGTCACGTCAGATTCAAACGCTTCTATCTTCAGGAAAAGTGTGTTAATGAGCTGCGTAAATTCCACCTGTTCTATCCAGCTGCTCGTGCACGTGAGAGATTAGCATAATTACCACCCCAAAAACACCATATAAGGCTATGTTTCCTGCCTCAGACACAAGGAAGTGTCCATTCATGAAAAATAACAGCGATAATTAAAAAGAAGAACTTGACGAGTTCAGAGATTGAAGTCCGTCTGTCAGAGATCCAGAAAAKAAAATCTGTCATTTTTAGCAGGTCAGCTGTGGAATAAAAAGAGCTGCTAAAAGTATAAACAACTGTGTTAAATCATTTTCATTTATTCAGAAGACACAGCGCTGCACACCGTTTTCACCGTTCTCTCATGTTTTAGTTTGTATTACTCTTGTTGTACAAAATACTTATTTACTGAGTACACTCATTCCAGGATAAAGCTATGAAATCAAAACCAGCAAACATTAAGCCAGAAATTAGCCTTTATTAGAAATTAGATTTAAACAAAAATGTAGTTAGAATTTTTCATGAAACCTTTACTTTCAGAGTTCTGGTGGTCCGTTGTGACCACTGGTTGTGACGTTGCTCCAGAACAGAGGGACAACAGCCAAAGAAATACACAAATATAATGATCAGTGTGTAGAAGTACAAACTGCTGGTATTTTATACTTCATTCAGAAATGCAGCTGGGCCCGTTCATCATGACCGGTGTCATTAGTAAGAAGCTAAATCGGATCAGAAGGTTCTGCTCTGCAGCGATGCTGACCAGGCAGCACCAACCTGTTGGACCACAGGAGGTCCGAGGACCACAGGAGGACCACCTGGTCCAGATCGGGCTCCACACACAGTTACTTGATGTTCCTCAGGATGCGTCGGGTGTGGCTGCTCTTCACTGCAGCTAATGCAGCTTCCAGGCTGGAGATGAGGTGCAGCAGGGTTCTGGGGTCCACCTGCAGGACCCAGCTGCTGCTGTCGCTCAGGAGCAGCCGGGTCGTCACCGTGGGAACGACCTGCTGACGGAGCGAACGACTCGCCAGCTGGAAACAGGAGACGGAAATCAAATTGAGTTCATTAAGTCAGGTCTGAACGGTGCTGGTTCTGATCCATGGAACCAGTTTGATCTGGTCTGAATGTGCAGGACAAGCACCGCTCTGACCTGAACGTCCAGTCTCCACTCCAGGTTCTGGTAGGCGGGCTGACTGCAGACCAGCTGGTTCAGGATGGTCCGGATCTGGCTGTGGTGGTCCCGGTACAGCTGGGAGGGCACAGAACTGTTTAAAAAGGTCCGTTCGGCTCACATCAGCCAACGGTCGCAGCTCGTTCAACTCACCTGCAGCAGGAAGCGGTTGAGCTCCTCGCTAAGTCCCAGAACCAGGACCGAGTCCAGAAAGTCCACATCAGAGATCTGAGCACAGCATGAGAGGGTGAGAGTCCTGGACCAGCAGGTTCTGATCCGACAGTCCGCTGGGTTCACACAGGATCACTTTCAGCTGTAGGTTTGTTTTCTGTGTGGTTTGTTGTTTGAATGATTTAAATCTAAAACTGTCAGAACTTGTTTCTGATACATTCAGACTTCAAGATATTAAACTTTACTTAAGAACTAATATTAATATTATTAATATTATTATTATTAGAGATTTAAATACTCCAATTCCTTCAAAAACATTCTCTGACCTCCACATTTCTGCTCCTTTTTAACTTTTCTGACAGTTTTCAGATTCAATAAACATTTTTGCCATGTGCAAGTCTCAACTAGTAAAATTAAGCTTTTACCTACAGTTTTATTATTTTAGCGTTTTAGTATTATTCTGCTAAATTTATATTATACCTACCGTTCTGCTGATATGTGACTGAATGGGTATTTTGTGCATTTTAGCTTTTAGCTACTGTTTAAATAAATTCAGCTTTTAGACTCTGGACTGCTTATTTTATCTTTTTGCTACTTTTTTATTTAAACTAGTTTTACTAATATTAGCTATTAGCTAGTATGATTTAAAAAATCTAGCTTCTGTTTTAAATGTTTTAGCTTTTAGCTGGTTTTATATTTTGCTTCTTTTTTCTGATAATTTGATCTTTTTGCTACTGTGAAGCTAATTTTAACTCTTAAAGGGCCAATATTATGTGTTTCTCAGGCATACATTTAAATACTATACCATAATAAAATATCTATGTCACCTTTAGCTGTTATTAAAATGCTGTTTTATGTTTAAATAGAAAATAAACTTATCTTCTCATCACTTCCTCTTCTAAATGCCTTGAAATTGGCCTCTGTCTCTTTAAGAACCACCTTCAGCTTCTGTCCTGCTCCTCAGCATGGCTTCCTAAAAACACTGCAGGATTTCTCAAACATGCATGAATGAGTCAAAGCAAGGCTTTGGGTATGTTTTTTCATGAGAGTATAACATTATAACATGATATAAAACTCAGAAAAGTTGATTTTACATGATATTGCCCCTTTAATGGTCATTGTGTGCTTTTTGGCTATTAGCTACTGTTTTACTAAATTTAACTTTTAGATTGTTTTGCTAATTTTAGCTTTTTGCTGTGTTTTTGCTCTGAGCTACTGTTTTACTAAAATTAGCTTTTAGCAACTACAAATTCTAGTTTGTTTTAAAAGTTTTAGCTTTTAGGTTGCTATTGTTTTGCTAGTTTAAACTTTTTGCTACTGAAATGCTAATCTTAGCTCTTGGTGACAATTTTGCACATTTTAGCTTTTAGGTACCGGTATGCTTAACCGGGCCGGTCACACTAGACAACTTTCGAGACACTTTTTATGTCTAAATTGCTAATAAAAGTGATATATTTGATATATGTGTTAGAATTACATTATGTGCGCACCGAAAAGAAGCTTCCTGTTGATTTTTTCAATTCCATCTTCAACGTAGACGTCTTTAAAATGTTCATAAGTTGTGTAGTGTGACAGGGTCTTAAATAATTCAATTTCAGCTTATTTGACAAATTCCAGCAGTCATTAAACATTCAGCTGCATTTTCAGCTGAAAATGTTAGTTTTCTAGTTAATCTCCTGTTTGATGCCAGTGTTGTGTCTGACTGTTGATCAGCTGACGCTCCTCTCACCACATGTTTGGAGCTCTCCATCAGCAGGAACACCAGACCCTCCACTCCACGCTGGACCGTTTCCACAGGAACACACAGCTTCCCTGAAAGCATCAGGAACTTTAAACTTACTGCTCTGAAGGAAAACAAGTAAATAATCTGAAATCTTTTTTAAAAATGTTCATCAATTATACAAAAGAAACAAAAATCTGGTCCCTGTTTACTAAAATCTTCTCTTATAAAACCTGATTAGAAGCAGAAAAAATTAAAACAGGCTGCCACTAACAAAAAGACTTGCAGATGGGCGGCAGAACCAAATTTAACTAGAGAAATTGTATTTCCTGCGAAAATACTAGTGTGAATGCCTGTAGCTGAAAACTTTAGCTGAAAGCTGCTGAAGAAGCTGAAATTGAGCTGAACATGTTGTTAAACATGAAAAGCTGAACGAATTTTAAAAAAGCAGAAAAACAGTTAAAAGGAGCAAAAATATGGCTGAATTAGCATAAAAAAGCTAAAAGCTAAAGGCTAAAATAGCTGAACACAGCAGAATGCAACTGTAAGAAGCATAAACAGCATAAATTAGCAAAAAAAAGTATAACAAAGCAGAAAAACACAGAATAGCAGAAAGAAGAAACATTTTAGCTGATGTGGCATCAAAAAGCTAAAGTTAGCAGAAAAAAGCTAAAAGTAGCAGACTCAAGTTGAAAGTGGCACACAGATAGTGAAATGGATGTAACAAATTCAAAATTATCAGAAAAAAACATAAAACTACTAAAAAGTGATCATTTACAAAACAGGTAAAACAGCTGACATTTTTAGTGAAACAGCTAAAAAGTAGCTGGAAACATTTTAATTAGCATAAGGATGCATAAGAAACACAAGTTTGTTGAATTTAGCAGAATTCAGTTGAAATTGCTCCAGAAAATTTGTAATATAGAAAGCTAACTGGGGCTAATAACAGCTACAATTTAGCTAAAGTCGTAGCAAATAGCTGAATATAGAAGAAAGCACGTGTAAGAAGCATAAATAGCACAAATTAGCTGAAAAAAGTATAACAAAGCAGGAAAAAGCAAAGAATAGCAGAAAGAAGTAGAATTTTAGTTAATATAGCAGAAAAAAGCTAAAGTTAGTATAAAAATAAGCTAAACGTAGCTGACTCAAATTGAAAGTAGCACCCAGATGTGAAATGGCAAAATTTGGCAGAAAAAAATCCCATAAAACTACTAAAAAGTGATCATTTGAAGTAAAACAGCCAAAGTTGTCAGTGAAACAGCTAAATTTTAGCTGGAAACAATTTAATTAGCATAAGGATGCATAAGGAGCACAAGTTTGCTGAATTTAGCAGAATTCAGTTGAAATACCTCCAAAAATGTGTAATTAGCTTAGAAAGCTAACTTTGGATAATAACAGTTAAAATTTAGCTAAATTTGTAGCAAATAGCTGAATATAGAAGAAAGCAACTGTAAGAAGCATAAATAGCACAAATTAGCAGAAAAAGTATAACAAAGCAGAAAAA